CTAGTTAGTGGCTTCATTTGTTTTGCTCCGAAGTCTAGATAAAATTATAACTGTTTGTCAATGATTGGTACTGGCGACCTCTTTCTTTTACATGAAGTAACAAAATATACGACACGGTTTACAAATAAAATGATAGTATGTAAGGACATCGGTATATTAGTATACAATATTGCAATGTAAAGAGGTATAATTATTCGCTGAAATTCAGTTACGCTGCGCTGGAACTACCCATATAATTTGTAAACTGTCAGTACTTCGAAATAGATAATAACGAACGTAATGGTCCACTGCTTGAGGACATTGTCTAAATAAGACAGCGGGTCATTCATCAATTAAAAACTAATAGTTAAAAACTAACTATAACTTAAAATTAGTTAGTTAGTTTTTAAATAAGACAGCTGGGAGTACTATATAACATCGACATAGGTAATTTAGTTTAATAAAAAACAAGGTCTGCCTCGTTGGCCGAGTGGTCGCAAGTGCGACTATCGGGCAAGGGGTCTCGGGTTCGATTCCCGGCTCGGGCCAAGTATTACTGGGTTTTAAAAAATTCTCAGTAGTAGCACGGAGTCTGGAATTGTGTCCGGTATATGGCATTAGGCTCACCCCTATTACACGGGACTCATAACATAAATAGTGAAAAGTGAGTGTTACATTGTACAGTGGCATAATGTGCACCTCCACCCCTTCGGGGATAAAAGGCGTGATGTTATGTTATGTGTAAAAAACAAGGACGTTGAACACAAGGCGGACGTAAAATCACTTAAGACATGATTGTGCGTGTACTTGCAACACCGTGGTGTATGAAGTGTAATGACGGGCCATGTCACGCGACAGATGTCCTTCGTGTCAATGTGTGTGTATTCTGCGTGTAAGTATAGTAGCCAGTTGCCACAGTTGTTGTTTTAAGAGACTATGTTCGGCTTTTTTAACGTCCTTGAATATAAAAAAATACAATATACATGTATTATATATATAAACCTTCCTTAAGAATCACTTTATCTATTAAAAAAACCGCATCAAAATCCGTTATGTAGTTTTAAAGGTCTAAGCATACATAGGGACAGACAGACGGCGGATAGCGACTTTGTTTTACAACTATATAGTGATAGTGATTGGGCTGCTTGGCAAAATTTTGGCTAGGCTACAAAATAGATAAGTTTTTATTATTTCACCCTTGGACTGTGATTTTATTTATCTATTGTAGTTGTCATTTATAATTGAATCCTAGTTTGTTCAGGACAGTTGGAAAACCCATAATTTGCATAGAATTGAATGGTTCATTGAAGAATTTGCAAATTATTAGTTCGATGCCAAGTCTGGTCTATTGGTGGACTATTGAATAATTATGTCACTGGTCTATAGACTAATTGAATGTATTACAGTTTCCGCTAGTTGGATCTATATTACTTTTTTAATTCCTATTGTTCACTGGGAACTTAGAATTATGCCTCAGACCTATGTATGTCTGCCCTACGCATGGCTCATGACCACTGTGATACCGTCTTCTCTGAGGTTACATAGGTCGCCTAAAGAAAAAAAAAAAAGTAAAGCCAGTGAAGAAAGAGAAGTGAAGACTCAATCAGCCACAAGGCCTCCACTGCTGAACATACCCCTTTCCCAACGACTTCTAGACTTGCATCTAGTGATTGTCTGTGACTTTAGTTAGCTCCTCTGTTCACCTAGTAGATGGAACTCCTGTATTGCACTTGCCAATACGTGGCTTTCATTTGAATACCTTTCTATCCCATCGGCCATCGGTTGTCCAAGATATATGTCCCGCCCACTGGCACTTCAATCTTAATAATATTATAAATTTAAACATTTGTGATTTTGTGTGTACCTATCTTTGTAACTTGATTCCCCCTAGTCCTTTCCATTATCGTACCACAAGACAATCGGCGAGGCGTCACCGATACATGGCAGATGTTCCACCCATACGCATGAAGCGCTTCGCTTCAAGCTTCCTTGTGCGTAGGTACTGCTAAAGAGTGGAATTTTTTGCCAGAGTCTGTATTACCTGGGAGTCTTCAAGGCCCGAGAGAATAGGTTGCTTATGGAACGACGTGCTCCATCGTAGACCGCATCATCGCTTACCACCAGGCGAGATAGTAGTCGAACGTCGTCCCATCAAATATTTATATAAAAAAAGGATCGAGATGAAATTTGAAACACGGATAGATTAGAGTATGGTATAACATATAGACTACTTTCTATCCCACGGAAACGTGTGAAGCCGCGGGCAGAAGCCAGTCTCTGCCTGCCTAAACTCAAAAAAAGACTTGTCACATCCACATCGCCTATGACGCTATGATGCACACACATTATTTAATTTAGTCGCGCGACACAACGATGTCATAGGCAGTCAAATATTTGAACTGATTATGTAACTGTTCGTTATGTAAGTTAACTGAGGGTTAGTAGGTTACAGCTGGCAATGAATTACGTGGTATGCATTGATAGAGGTATGATGGTACGATATATTCGTATATCGTTGTGCGAGTTGTAAATTTAGAAATGGTGTATGATCGGTTGGCGATTAGGTGTCGCGTCTGTTTTGTTTTAAGGTACGTTTAGACTACGACATTACACGGTACACTCAGTGTATGTTTCCATATGAATACGGGTGTCTGTAAATGGATTTTTGAGGGGAAAATCATCCAATGACTTCTCCCGCCTTGGGTGAGGCGAGAGGGAATGTCAGACTCTTACTGACTAAGAACCACCCCGTACTCCCTGCTCTTCGAGCCGGAGCCCCGGCAACCCGTTAGGCTTTCCGAAGCTTCGTATCGGCCATCAACCCTACTGGGCCCCATTTGTAGTGGTCTGGTGGCTTTTGAGGTGCGCGCGAAATGCGACGCGCCGTACGGACGGGTCTGTTTCTAATCGGGCGCCGAGCTACCTTTGCTCACCGCCCGCCCGCAGACCCGCACTTTTGGTGGCCGGATATCGTCGCAATCTCCGACGCCCGGGGTGTTTCTCCCGACGACAGGGGCATGAGAAGGTTCGTTTTCTCACGCGTCCCGGCTCCTCCTTATCTAGCATGACTGCTTCGCAGAATGCTAAGACTGCTATGTAATAGGGGTGGGCCTATTACCATATATCAGGAACAATTCCAAACTCCGTGTTGTTACTGAGGTTGTAAACGGCACACACGACATTTCTGTTGAAGTCTAAACGTATCTTCTCTAAGTCATGGTGGCCCGGAGGTTAAGACGCCCGCTTCTCATGCATGAGGGTGTGGATTGAAACGGCAAGTTCCAATGTGACGTTCTCCGAGTTATATGTACTTTCTACGATTATTTAGACACCACTGACAAACTGTGAAGGAAAACATCATGAGGAAACCTAGAGTTGTATATCTAAATATAAGTTTGAAATCGCCAACCCGCATTGAGCAAGCGTGGTGACTAATGCTCAGCCCTTATCCGTGTGAGAAGATGCTTTGCTCAGCAGTGACCATTGATAGGCTGTTAATGATGATGAAACGTATTTTAAAGATCTTAGTAAAAAATGTTGTTGTACGTATGTTTTTCGAGACAGAAATTCTGTCCAAAATGTAATTATTAAAAAAAGGAATTTGTATGTATGTACTTAACCCATCGTATTACCTGATTACGTAGATATACGCAAGACACAATGTGTTTTCTATTGTGTCTCATAAGTCATATAAGATGGCAGATAAGAGGTTAAGTGTGAATTCTTAGTTGTCATAATGTTTCAAAACTTATTAATTAATGTCTACTAAAACCACGCAATAATAAAAATTGTAAAAACGAGGATTGGCCTAATACATAATTATAATTTGTCAAACAGCATACATTATCCAATTAAACACAATTTTATTTTGAAAGGAAGACACAAGATTTAGATCATCATTAATCTAACCGAAAATTTTAATATTGTCCACAGAAAAAAATGCAATAATCAACGCCGGAGAAGAGTGAATCAAATTCCAAGATGGCCGCCGTTTCCCAGCTGATTTCTGTCAGTGACGTCATTAGCGAGAATTTGAATAAAAATGAAAAAAATACGTATTGTTCTCAGTGCAATGACAATGTAGATGAAAATATGAACAATATGAGTGATAATTTAACTGAAGTGCAAAAATTTTATAATGGGAAAAATGTTCTTATTACTGGAGCCACTGGTGAGTTGACCTTCTGCTGTTTTATTGTCGTATTGATAAATTATTGTAGGTTAAGAAGCCTACAAGACTATGAATGCAGGTTCAAAACCTGGCAAGCTGCAAAGTGATTTTTTTTTTAAAGTTAAGCATGCTTTTCATTGCATTTAACTGTTGAGGAACCTTGCTTTGGTACGAATGGGCCGGCTCGACCGGAATGATACCACGGCCGAGCAGAAAACCGATGTGAAACAACGCTTGCGTTGTGTTTCATCGTGTGAGTGAGGTTACTGGAGGCCTAAGTACCCCCTCCCAGTCTCCCCAATCCCCGAACCCCCACAATCCTCAAATTCCCAATTCCCAAAAGGCCGGTAACACACTTGTTACGCTCTGGTGTTTCAGGTGTCCATGGCCGGTGATCCGTCTGTTTACCGGCTTATCCCATCAAAATAAAGTAAGACTGTCTCGTTGGCTGAGTAGTGGCAATGGATATCGGGTTCGATTCCGAGGTCGGGGAAATTATCACTGAGTTTTAAAAAAAATCGCACCAGTAGCACAGAGCATGGAAATGTGCCCGGTATATGGCAATAGGCTCACCCCCTATTACATGGTACTCATAACATAAATAGTGAAAAGTGGGTGTTACATTGTACACTGGCATTAATTGCCATAATGCTCACCTCTGCCTTCCCCTCAGGGGATAAAGGGCGTGATGTTATGTTATACTATAATAAGACGTAAAATAATCTTTACATCGTAAATCTCAGGTTTCCTTGGCAAGATCCTGGTGGAGAAACTCCTGAGATGCTGTCCAGGCGTGGAAAACCTGTACCTGCTGGTGCGGCAGAAGAGGGGCAAGGATATCTATACTAGGATGGAAGAAATATTCGATGATCCGGTAAGTTATTTTATTTTATATACCGACAGCTTCTGTATACATAGCATTAAGTGATATGAAAGTAACATTAAGTATTTAGGCTTATACAGTCGCCAATTATAAGTAGGTTAAACAACATTTAATTACTTAAGTGATAATAAAAACTATAAATACAAAAATGAACGAGAACAATAAGTTTTAGTTACTAAAAAAGAAACTACTACTAACGAAATAAACATTGTTATTTTAGGGCACATAAAATTAAAGACTTTTAATAGAACTTTAGAACCTTGGTTATAACAAAATTAAACATTTAAAAAAGAAAAGAAATAAAGCATGTTTCGTAAAAAATTAAATGTTAATAAATGTATTAAGCTAAGGATATGAACATTTTGTAAAAATGTATATAAAGAAATGAATTTAGATAAATGAGTTAATCTATATATATAAGGTGCTCTATAATTATTAGCCTCGGCTTTAATGGGAGGTAGTGTTATGTTTACAGATTACAATTGTGAAGAAATTTCGTGCCCCGGACCAGTTAATTACCTACAGTAATTAAGTAAACATTGACTACATTCTGCATAATGTGGTTCACAAATTACGCGCGATGGGTCGCTTAGTCAATGAAAACAATTGCTATCTCTTTCCACGTGTACTGAGAATGAAAACGGAAATCAGCTGACTAGTTCGTCACTATCTAATCTACTAGATACTCAATAGGCAGGCTAACAAGGGTTTTAAAAGTGCAATTACTTACCAGGTACGGCATTCTTCCGAAAAGCTGATGTAGGTAAATAAGATTATAAACTTCCCATCACACTTAAAACAGTTTTTTACACACTTTTACAGTTATTTACACACTCTCTACCTACTTATCTACAAAACTGTTGCACAAGTCCACCTTCGCGTTGCACACAAATGAAGGCACGCTTCCAAACATGTCATATCACATTATTTAACGTGTCCGTTTCACTTTTACTTTGTTTCGCGTTTGATTTAAAAGACGCCACAAGTTATTGTCTCTATCATCGTACACTCCGGCGGTATCCCTTGTGCTCGCAAGAAGATGACACCGAAAGAACTCTAACACTTCCTGTTCGAGTTCTGATTTGAATTTCGTCGCCTGGGAGTCATTTTTACGTAGCGCGCGCGTATCTCCGACATTGAAACTAACGTCCAGGCAGGCAGGGGTTGACGGGGCTACTGGCGGCCGGGCGGCGCGTGCGACGAGTTCTGCTGGGGTGTGTTGTCTCGTTCTTGAACGCCCCGTCATACGCTGTTGCCATCCTTATCAGACCGCTCGGCGCCGGGCGGCTAGGAGCACGCTGCACACCCCCGCGCGCCCGCACCCTCTCCTGCACTCGTCGCACGCGCTGGTCAACCGGCCGCCGGGCAGGCGGGGGTTGAGCTACTGATAAGGATGGCAACAGCGTATGACGGGCGTTCAAGAACGAGACAGCACACCCCAGCCAGCAGAACACGTCGCACGCGCCGCCCGGCCGCCAGTAGCCCAGTCAACCCCTGCCTGCCCGGACGTTAGTTTCAATGTCGGGGTTACGCGCGCGCTACGTAAAAATGACTTCCAGGCGACGAAATTCAAATCAGAATTCGAAGAGGAAGTGTTAGAGTTCTTTCGGTGTCATCCTCTTGCGAGCACAAGGGATACCGCCGGAGTGTACGATGATAGAGACAATAACTTGTGGCGTCTTTTAAATCAAACGCGAAATAAAGTAAAAGGGAAACGGACACGTTAAATAATGTGATATGACATGTTTGGAAGCGTGCCTTCATTTGTGTGCAACGCGAAGGTGGACTTGTGCAACAGTTTTGTAGATAAGTAGGTAGAGAGTGTGTAAATAACTGTAAAAGTGTGTAAAAAACTGTTTTAAGTGTGATGGGAAGTTTATAATCTTATTTACCTACATCAGCTTTTCGGAAGAATGCCGTACCTGGTAAGTAATTGCACTTTTAAACCCCTTGTTAGCCTGCCTATTGAGTATCTAGTAGATTAGATAGTGACGAACTAGTCAGCTGATTTCCGTTTTCATTCTCAGTACACGTGGAAAGAGATAGCAATTGTTTTCATTGACTAAGCGACCCATCGCGCGTAATTTGTGAACCACATTATGCAGAATGTAGTCAATGTTTACTTAATTACTGTAGGTAATTAACTGGTCCGGGGCACGAAATTTCTTCACAATTGTAATCTGTAAACATAACACTACCTCCCATTAAAGCCGAGGCTAATAATTATAGAGCACCTTATATAAAATTCAAAGGTGACTGACTGACTGACTGACATAGTGATCTATCAACGCACAGCCCAAACCATTGGACGGATCAGGCTGAAATTTGGCATGCAAATAGATATTATGACGTAGGCATCCGCTAAGAAAGGATTTTGATCATTCTCACCCCCCAGGGGGTAAAATAGGGGGTGAAAGTTTGTATGAAACTTTGTCAATTTTATACTAATCGGGTTGAAATTAGGCGTGCCGGTAGATATTATGGCGTAAGCATCTTCTAAGAAAGAATTTTGATCATTTTCACTCCCAAGGGGGTAAAATAGGGGGTAAAAGTTCGTATGAAACTTTGTCTGTTTTACACCGATGGGGATGAAATTCGGCATGCAGGTAGATGTTATGACGTAGGCATCCCCAAGTAAGGATTTTGATCATTTCCATCTTTCATCCCCTACATTACCCCATTGGAGGTCCATGCTCACTCAAAGATCTCGTTGGCGGTGGCACGTGCATTGGATCGCTCGATTCCCTACAAAATGGTTGAGTTGGGCGGTGCTAGGGTTCGCAAAATGTTCGTGAACGGGCACCGTCGATTGGAACTGATCAGCTCCAGACTGTATCTTTTTATTTTATTATCCTCAAGGTTATTTTCTTTTTCAGTCTTTCTGACTGGATTTGGGTGTTGCATTGTTCTCACATAATTGAACCAATAAAACTATGTAACTAGAGAATTGTATTGTAAACCTGATTGAAAAAGAGTAACCTATGGAGTTTCTTGCTCGTTCTTCTCCATAGGAATCTACGCCTTGGAATGAGCAACTAGCTTCACTTATAATTTTTTGTTGTTTGACGTTCAAAAGTGCCATCCTGGTCTAATTGAAATAAATGATTTTGACTTTGACTTTGACTTTGAATGTAGGGGATGAAAGTTTGTAAGAATCTTTGTCAGTTTTACACCGATCGGGTTAAAATTCGGCGTGCAGGTAGATATTATGACGTAAACGTCCCTTTAGAAAGGTTTTTGAACATTTCCACCCCAAAGTGGGTAAAATAGAGGGTGAAAGTTTGTATGATACTTTGCCAGTTTTAAACCGATCGGGCTGAGACTTTGCATGCATAAAGTCACTATGACATAGGTATTTCCTTAGAAAGAATTTTGATAAATTGCATCCCTAATGCGGATAAAATAGGGAATGAGAATTTGTATAAATCTTCTTAGCTATTGAATTAGAATCATTGAATCTTTATGGATTACATTCGGTAAAAGGATGATTTGGGACCTGGGTATCGTATGATAGTTTTTATCACACTATATACGTTTTATGTGTATCCTACGGGAACGGGAACTATGCGTCAATGCCCCAGGACTCTCTATCTCTTAACCACTGAACTTATAATTGATAGAATAGTTTTTATTACTCAAAACTTACGTGATCGGGCACTGTACTGGTACTGTAAGATCCCTGCAGGATTATTAATTTATTGAAATTACGATAACTCATTTCACAATAGGTAAATCTTACTTGGGCACTGAATTGATTCTGATGAATTCTGTCAGAAGTCATTAATCTACGCGGACGAAGTCGCGGGCAACAGCTAGTTATTTATAATATTAATTAAGTTATAGCTTATGTTTTTCTTAAAAAAGCGTTTCCCGACACTAAGTGCATAAAGGTATACAGTCTGCACTGCAGACACAATTTAGTTAATCCATATAATAAATCCAGCGTAAACCGCTGAAATCTTGAAATCCACATTAATCTTGTGTTTTTTTTGGTTAACCTTCAATTGTTTACACTATATACATTACTGATTAAATAGTTATAGAATCATGTACAAGTGCAACAATTAATTATAGGTTAACACCACATGCAAAAAACAAAACGGTGAACAAAACATACAGAAAAATAACAAGTGATTCCATGGGTGCATATCTATCTCAAAAAGAAAAAAAATACATTAGAATGTCAATTACTAATTATAGGTATAAATACGGAATTATTGGAACATTAAATTTAGTTATACTTGTATAAATTGTATTACAATTATTGATAAATTAAACTTATAATAAAATCAGTAAAAAAAACAAGATTACAAATAAAACAATAATATTAGGAAGACAGATTATGTATGACATGAAAGTCAAAAATAAAAAAAAAAACAAATAATCAAAAAAATTCAGTAATTTACTTTTACATCATTTACAAACGCTCGTATGAATTTATTTATATTGTGATGTAGAAATAACGTTAGAACTCAGATCTTAGACACATACTTATTATAGTACTGGATAAATGTACGTCTGCTATTTATTGGCAACTAGCTTCTGCACGCGACTTCGCACCCGCAATCCTTCCTTTTCATTTTCAGAAAAAAGTAAAAAAAAAGTATTGAAAAAAAAATATCCTATGTCCATCTCCTGGTTCGAAGCTACCTCCCCAGCAATTTTCATCCAAATCGATTAAGCCGTTCTTGAGTTATAAATAGAGTAACTAACACGATTTTCTTTTATCTATATAGAGATTTATCTAATCTGCATCTGCGTCTGCATTTTTGCATTCATTTTTAAACCTTCATGGATTGTACCTTTAACGTCCAGTTTCTATAACCTATCCATCTGTAGATTTGCTTACTAGAGATAGAATTTTGACATGAGCTCCATACAAAATGTGTCAAAATTCTATCTCTAGTAAGCAAATCTACTGCAACTGCAAAGAAACTGGACGTAAATCTTTCTCAAAAATTACTGGTAAAATACCCATAACAATACATTCAGTAGTTTTTAATTTTATTACAAAACAGACGTGGCGGGCAGCTTTCTTTTAAAACATGCAAGGATAAAATTGATGACCCAACACAATTTATTGCCTGACTCAGGAATTAAATGCAACCTTGTGAGGTCAACATCTTAAACAATATTTTTGAAGGTCACAGGAAATATTCGAAACTCATAAAATGATTACTTGGCTCTCTCGTTGGTCCTGTGGTTGCAAGAGCGATTGCCGAGCTAGAGGCCTTAGAGTTGATCCTCAAATCTATCTATATAAATAAAAATTAATATCCGTTTGTTAGTCTCGCTAAAACTCAAGAACCGCTGAACAGATTTGTCTAATTTTGGTCTTGAAATTTTCGTTAAAGTCCAGTGCCTTTAGCCATACGCCACTTTAGCGCTTGTCTATAGAGAGAGTAGAAAACTAAATGTAAGGATATGACACTGACAAGTGTCAATACAAAATATAAGTAGACAAGCGCTAAATGGCATTTGGCTGCAGCTGCAGGAAAGATGTATATGTAAAAGATTTTAGACGCCATCTTCAACTTACAATAGGGTGGATGCCTAATTTTTATATTAATGTCCGTCTGGTAGATTATTTTAAATCATTAGACACGTATTTTTTATTTTCTTAAAGAAACGAAGACCTGCAACGATATATTGATTTGAAACGTCGCGTGACGTAATTTCTATGTACATTTTATACGTAGAAATTACGTTTTAGCCCCCACTCCTAAACTTTGATTCGTTTTATCTAAGTATTGTTTTATTATACGACAAAATAAAAAATATACGTGTCTAATATTTTTTCATTACCTAACTTACAGACTAATTCGATTTTTAATTTTTATACCCTGTCATCATCCCAATCGACGGCGTCGTTTCCCAAAACCTTTTAACTTTAAGCATGTCACAATTTATTGACAATCATTTCACCTTCATTGGTCCTTCATTAACAACTTCCTTTAAATTGTAAAGGAGTTTATAATTATGTTTAAATTGACACCATGAGCCCTAAAAGGGCATCAGACGGGCTAGGTCATCTGCCTGTCAAATGCCAAGGTTTCGACCATAACTGTCATGGCTACCGTATTTATAGTATTTAACCTATTTTTTGGGTTTTCTATAATCATGTTTTTGGTGTTCGATTGTTTCCTGTGGCCTTCAGAATAAAATATAACGACACACTCTTTAACGGAATCAAAAAAAGGATTTCTTAGTTTTACGTATGTAGGTATGTATGTTTGTTCGCGATTTTCTCGCGATTGGTTAAATCGATATTGATGCGGTTTTAAGAAAAGTGTTTGTTACGCATAAGAGAAGGTTTTATTATATTAATTAGACGACTTTAAAAAAGAAGAGGGTGAAGTCGAATTTTTAATGTAGTTTATAAAAAAAATAACTGGTTGGCCGAGTGGTCGCAAGTGTGGGATAGCCATGCTTTGGCACGAATGGGCCGGCTCGACCGGAATGGTACCACGGCCTCACAGAAAACTGACGTGAAGCAACGCTTGCGTTGTGTTTCGTCGTGTGAGTGAGCTAACCGGAGGCCCAATTACCCTCACCTTCCCCAATCTCCCCAATTCCTGAATCCCCAACGATCCTCAAACTCATAATCCCCAAAAGGCCGGTAACGCACTTGTAACGCTTCTGGTGTTCCAGGTGTCCATTGGCGACGCCGATTGCTTACCATCAGGAGATCCGTCCGCTCGTTTACCGGCTTATGTCATAAAATAATACTACAAGGATAACCAGCTCAAAGTTATATGTTCGACATAAAAATCTCATTTAGGTTCAAATGTTGCAAATCACATCCTACACCATGATGTGACCCTGGTTCATGAATCAATGTCAAGGTTCCTTATTTTGGCCTTAACTTTGTTTAAAACTAATAAGACATGTATGTACTTACATTACATTATTAGTATTTTTCACGTTATCAACCGGCTTCAAAAAATAACTGCCTCGTTGGCCGAGTGGTCGCAAGTACGACTACCGGGCAAGGGGTCTCGGGTTCGATTCCCGGGTCGGGTTTTTTTAAAATTCTCAGTAGTAGCACGGAGTCTGGAATTGTGTCCGGTATATGGCAATAGGCTCACTCCCTATTACATGGGACTCATAACATAAGTAGTGAAAAGTGAATGTTACATTGTACAGTTTCATAATGTGCACTTCTGCCTTGAAGTTGGTTTTTATAAACGTAGTATACTTATGTGTCGCGGAGAACCTAACGGGTTACCGGGGCTCCGGCTCGAAGCGCAGGAAAAGGAACGGGGTGGTTTTTAGTCATTAAGAGTCTGACCACAGATATATTAAAGATTTTTTTTAATATTTCTGTGAGTCTGACACTCCCTCCCGCTTTACCCAGGCGGGAGGAGTCATTTGATGATTTTCCCCCCTTAAAAAAAGTATACTTTTGTATAAAAGAATTATAAGTGATATTGGATACAATGCATTATTAGTAGGTAATTTTATTAGTCTCACAGATATCTACAAGTAGGTACTTAATATTGACTCCGCAAGACTATAACTAAAAATTAGTTACAAATCTAGGTTTTTTATTTATATATATAGGATTCCTGTAATATGACCTGAGATTCGAACATGAGACCTCTCACTCAGCAACCATTGTTTTATATTAGGTAGGTGCTTATAAAACTGTCAAACACCGCGAGGACACCGGTTACCGCAACCTATTGTTCTTTAATTGTGTCTATAATGACGGCACTCAAAGGGTTAATAATTCAGTCATTAAAAAATATTCAAATAAAACATCGGAAACAATGATTTAAGTGTTCGAAAAAACCCATCTGTGTCAAGGGTTATTGACACAGGAATCGACCCTGTACAGGTACACAGCAAGCTACCTAACCAGTATAAACTGACCGTCGTATGTATGGACAAATCATATAAAGTAGGGTTATAATAATCTGGTTATGTATACATAGTTCCACGAATCTTTTATACTAACCAGTATAAAATGACCGTCGTATATATGGAAAGATCTTATAAAGCGGGGTCATAATAATCTGGTTCTGTATACTCCACGAATCGAGTTATGCTACCAGTATAAAATGACCGTCGTATGTATGGAAAGATCTTATAAAGCGGGGTCATAGTAATCTGGTTGTTATAGCTCCACGAATCGAGTTAAAATAACCAGTATAAACTGACCGTCGTATGTATGGAAAGATCATATGAAGCGGGGTCAGAATAGAATGGATGTTTACATATTTGCAATACTGCAGGATATAAAATATTATGATACAAAATAAATTTGTTTGTTTATGTGTTCGCCCTTTTGTCTTTAACCGACTGTAAAAGTTATGGAGGTTATGTTTCATGGATGTTGTTATTGAGTGTTTATTGTTGGTCAAGGTCGTAGGTTCGATTACTTTACAAATAGAATAAAATTTTTTTTTTAATAATTTCTTTATGCTGCAATTCAGGAAAAATCTAGCCGTTTCTTCAAATTATTGATTACGTAAATCAATTACTAAATTATTTAACTGTGAATATTACTATTAATAATAATATTCACAGTTTTCGAGGATGCTCAACCAATTTCCAGCCACACCAGGGCCCATAATCACAAATCATAACACAATAAAATTGCGTGCTTAAAATGAAATTTCTTCTGCTTTCCAGGTGTTCAGCCGGTTAAAAGAGGAGGTGCCTAAGTTCAGACATAAGGTGGTCGTGGTGCCGGCAGACTGTGAGGCCGCGGGACTCGGTCTCACACTGACAGACAGACAAATGCTTACTGAAAAGGTTTGTTTGATTATAGTGACGTATTATGTCCAAAAACTCCACCCCACTTTGTTTTAAGAATTTCTAAATAGTTGTTTTCATTACATTTGTTATTTTTATTTTGAAAAATTGTTAGAATAATATCACTTCGAGTCGGAGCCCCGGCAACGCGTTAGATAAAAAAAGGGCCAAAAATTTAGCCGCGGAGAACGCAAAGGTTACCAGGGCTCCGGCTCGACGTGCAGGAGAAGGAACGGGGTGGTTTTTAGTCAGTAAGAGTCTGACACTACCTCCCGCCTCACCCAAGGCGGGAGAAGTAGACCCGAGCGTACGGCGCGTCGCGTTCCGCGCGCGCCTCAAAGAGCCATCAGACCGCAACAGGGCCGATGCCGATTCTGAGTCGCGGAGAACCTAACGGGTAACCGGGGCTCCGTGCTCCGGCTCGACGTGCAGGAGAAGGAACGGGGTGGTTTTTAGTCAGTAAGAGTCTGACACTCCCTCCCGCTTCACCGATGATTTTCCGCCCTTAAAAAAAAGGCGGGAGAAGTAATTGGATGATTTTTGCCACCATAAAAAAAATTTGGGCCGTTGGCGTGGCTTGGAACTAGTTAAAGTATGCCTTTGTTCTCAAGCTAGCCAGCAAGGCTTTTTATTTCCAAGTCTAAGTCAAAGTAGATGTTTTCAATTTGCGTATTCTCAGATAGCAGAGAATATTAATTTCAGTCAGTCTCAGTAAGAGTCTGACATTCCCTCCCGTCTCGCCCAGGCGATGATTTTCTCCCTCAAAAAAACAGGGTGTTTACTCTTGAAACCAATCTCAATGTCAATGCAATTTTAATCCAGTAAAATCTCAATAACTATTCAATGTCAAAACTATACAACCCCTATCGTAGCTGTTAAAATATCATTCAGAGTACGGAATATAAAGCCAAACTCAATACCATTTAGTTCATTCATTTCATAAGGGCCGTAAATTTTTGAATTATGATCATGATCGACGTTAAATGCAATATACTGCCTTAATATATCTAGTTCCGACCCAAGGTTCTGGCCTCTAAACTACTCCAATAAGGAATCAATCTTCATCCATTCCAGGTGAACATAATATTCCACTCGGCGGCTACGGTGAAGTTCGACGAGCACCTCCGAGCAGCACTAGTGACTAACGTCATGGCTCCACTACATCTACTCCGGCTGGCTAGAGACCTGAAGAAGTTAGATGTAAGTCGATCGTTGCCTCATATTTTCTCCTGTGTCATGGGTGCGTTCACAAACATACAAGTTCACATACACATGACACCCAGACCCGAAACAACAATTTGTGGATCACACAAAGTGTTGTTCCGTGCGGGAATCGAACCCGCGACACGTCCCACGGCAGCCGGTTGCCCAGCCACCGCACCAACCGTGCAGTCTTTAGCTTTGTTTTTATAATAACTATCGTGAAACATACTAAATTAACTAAAATCGCGGGTTATTCACGTGAATATACTGAGAAAAGCTAGCGACATCGCCGCACGCTGCTCATGATGAAGAGACCCTCTGTGCTTCTAAATTAATAGAGCTTTTCTCAGTATATTCACGTGGGTAATCTGCGATTAAAGATATCTTTCTTTGTTATTTCCTATTCTGTATGTACTATATTATTAATGATGTACAATAAAGATTATTCTATTCTGTTTTGTTCTATTCTATACATTAAATGTAATAGCAGTGGCGTGCACAGATTTTCGAGACAGGGTAGGCAACTAAATATCGTATGATTAAAGCCCTCCCCCCTGGTCATACAATCATACTCCCACAAGACAGGTACATGTACAGAATACATTTTGAAAAGTGCGTTCAATAATATTGTGGTTTATTCTTTCGCCAAATTACATACACTGACATCTCGCGTATTTTTTGTAAAGTACTTCATCAGCTATCGAATAAGCCAACAAAACTTACAAATAATGAAGCATCTATTTATTATACTAATAATGAATCATAAATTTGATGAACCAAATTCAATTATCAAATGGCTAAATAATCTATTTAAAATCATAATTACGAATTTAAGAACGTAGATACCTACCAACAAACAAAACAACAACAAGCGCGGCCGGCTGTGGCCGAGCCGAGTATAAGCGGTACATTTGTTATTACATTACATAATTATTAATAATAAATTAATATGTAAATCAAAACAACCCGAGGTATAAGTTGATATTTTTAAGAATTATCAATCAATAAACAAGAACATCATATAAAAGATCCATTATAGTACCTACATATTTACATTACCTACCTTTGACTTGGGTCAATTCTCGTAACTTGAGTTCTGCCTATGGTCATTACCTGAATCTAGTCGTTATAGGACACATTTTTGCGAAAACTTACTGTTTTTAACTTTAAACAAACACAAAAATTACCTATTATCAACACAAACTTCACAATCGAATAATATACTAGACATGATAAAAAATACACTATTTGAAAAACCGACACATATATTTTAATACTTCTACACATATTTATGCAACTTTATGTTTAAAACTAATTCCTTATAATTTAAACGAAAACATAAACAAAGCGATCGCACATCTCATGAAAACAATATGGCCGAAAACATTTTAAAGTCATTACCCATCGTAGTCAATTGAGTGTTTATTATAAAAAAATTATAGCTAAAACATTAAAGCAACCCAGTGTTTAATTATAAAAAAACAAAACGTTAATTTACATAAGTCAAATGGAATTGCATCATTGTCTTATTATTATTTTCCAATAAGAAACATTGTTGATAATAATTTGAAACTTTGAGTAGCGGCAACTTGACGTTTCGATAACTTCCTTTTAACTTTTAAAATAATAAAGTCAACTCCTCGTTTAAAGTTTCTATAAAGCGACAACGCGTAAAAATGTTAAGATTTAATTAAAACACCTGAAACATATTTTTTTAGTATGCATAATTATAAAAAGACATTCGCATTATATTTATTCAGAAGTTTTAACAAAAAATTCAATAGATGGCGCAGATTCACAAATTTAAAGTCCGGCTAGATTGAATCGTGTAATAATTTTTTGCGTTTATGAATGGTTATTCTGTGCTGTGACCATAGTCACGTGACCTTCACGCATGCGCATTGCATACTTTTTGTGACGTCACAACCAACAACCAAGATTTAAGGAATAGCAGCGCATGCGTGGTGCGTGCGGCGCGCATTCATTGCTTTACAAAGGCGTGCGGTCCGTGTATAGTATATGTGAATGTATATTTATGTTAGCCGTTTTTTTACAAACTTTTATTATATTATTGAATCTTAATAAACGCGTTAGTACATTTTATGTCAAGCAAAGCCTATTTGCCTATATGGACTGCACGCCACTGTGTAATAGGGGTGAGCTTATTGCCATATACCGGGAAAAATTCCAAACTCCGTGCTACTACCCACTGAGATTTTTTTTAAAACCCAGTGGTACTTTGCCCCGGCAATCGACACCGAGACCCCTTGTCCAGCATTCACGCTTGCGACCACTCGGTCAACGAGGCAGTTTCAGGCAACAAAAATATTTCTCGATCAATAAATAAAGTTGTTTATAAAAATCTTTTCCTATTACCACATTTAGTTCAGTAACTGCAATTTAGGAACTAGCAAGAAATACTACTAATAGACTACCAATAGACTGTAATAATAATCAGGCTAACTTCTTCTGCTTCTTCTGTATCTCTTTTAGTAACAAAACTAGCTTTTAGCCGCGGCTTCGCTCGCGTCACATAAGGAAAAAAATAGCCTGTGACATAATAATATACCAATACACACAGCGCCATCTATACCAATACTTTTATTTTCCCTCGGGAATATCAAATTTTTTCCGGGATAAAAAGTACCCTATTATTTAATCCGGACTTCTAATTTTACGTCTGCAAAAATTCAAAGCAATCGATTTAGTAGTTACGGCGTGAAAGCGGAACAAACAAACAAACTCACTTTCAGATTTATAATATTTAGTAAGGATTAACCGAAAATATACTTTATTTCCAGGTACTAATGCACATATCGACAGCGTACTCCAACTCTCATCTACCGCTAATTGAAGAGAGGTTCTACCCTTGTGAAGCTGATTGCGAGCAACTACACCAGGTGGTTGACAAGCTGACGGACGATCAGCTGAATAACATGTTGCCTAAGTGAGTCCATTTTATGAACCTGTTTTGTGATGATGAGGGAGACGTTCAAAAGGTGTCTAGGTTTTTTGGAAAGAAGGAGTCTGGAGTTGTTACCTCACTACAATCTCCGCAGTGTCTACTAAACACATTACATCATGCCTGTCATCTCCCAAAGGCAGAGGTGCACATTACGGCACTTAATGCCGCTGTACAATGTAACACCCACTTTTCACTATTTATGTTATGAGTCCCATGTAATAGGGGGTGAGTATTGCAATTTACTAGGCACAATTACAGACTCCATTTTTTTTTAAAACTCATTTATTCTTTGCCTGACCCGGGAATGGGAACTGAAAAGAGAAAACTTTTGCTGTGTCCTAGGGGTGTTTACATTATTTTATGTAAAAAACTTCTTGTAAGTAATGTTTACCTTAAACAAATTTTTATACGCCCCCCTCCCCCAAAGCACGAGTGCCTAGGGCGCCAGCAGCTGTAGCCAAATGCCATTTATCGCTTGTCTACATGTAGAATAGAAAACCAAATTATATGGAATTGACGTAAATTTTGACACTTGTCAGTGTCATCCCCATACATTTAGTTTTCTACTCTCTCTGTAGACAAGCGCTAAAGGCACTGGTTAGCTCAATACAGAGTCCAGAAAATCTGTTTCTTTTGTCTAAAATATTGTGTTTCACAGGATACTAGGACCATGGCCAAACACGTATACCTTTACAAAAGCGTTAGCGGAGAAGGAGCTACGGGCGAGTGCGGGAGGCATGCCTATAGGTATATTTAGACCGGCTATAGGTGAGTCTTAATGGCTATGTTTGCCGTTTAATGATTCTTTCTACTTACATACATACATACATACATACATACATAACTTCACGCCTGTCTCCCATTGGGGTAGGCAGAGACTATGGACTATGCCAATTACTACGATTCTTACATACCTCTTTGGCTTCATCAACAGTCATCAATATTTTCATGCATGCTCTTCGGTTAATCTGGTCACTATATCTTTGTACCTTCTTTTAATAATTTTATTATTTAGCTGATATATTTATTTTGTAACTCATAACTATTATATTTATTTCTTTTTCTATCCATGCTCGTATTCTATGCAACTTGGGATTGTATGCCAACTCCAAGTTGCTTGTATGTTTCTGTTTATTATTATACATAACATAACATCACGCCTGTTATCCCCGAAGGGGTAGGCAGAGGTGTACATTATGCCACTATACAATGTAACACCCACTTTTCACTATTTATGTTATGAGTCCCATGTAATAGGTGGTGAGCTTATTGCCATATACCGGGCACAAATCCAGACTTCGTGCTACTACTGTGATTTTTTTTACAAAAACCCAGTAGGTAATACTTTACCCAACACGGGAATCGAACCCTTGCCCGGCAGTCGCACTTGCGACCACCCGTCCAATGAGGCAGTCATTAATTTTTATAACGACTTCTTTTTATCTCTCTTATCAGGTCATTCTAACTCCTCCTATCACAAACTCCGTTTTCTTTACACAGTCTATCCATCTATTCTTTGATCGTCCTTCACCTTTCCATCTCTAAAACATAATTAAGAAACAGGAAAACTAAGTTTATAAAATAGAGGACTGTGTGACGTTACGCTCCAAATATAATAATCACCATTAACAGTCCATGACTGTCCAATGCTAAAACAAAGGGCTCTTAAGTAAGAGTCTGTTTACATACATACATAAAAGGGTTTTGCTACAGCCTCCACGATCTGTAAGCTGCTATAAATCACAGTTTAAAACTTTCAGCATAAAGCTGAGAAGAGAGCGCTGCTGCATGATCGATTTTTTTAGCATAAACCGGTAAACGAGCAGACGGATCACCTGATGGTAAGCAATCGGCGCCGCCCATGGACACTCGAAACACCAAGACGTTACAAGTGCCTTACCGGCCTTTTGGGAATTGGGAATTTGAGGATTGTGAAGGATTCAGGGATTCGGGTGATGGGGACTAGGGAAGGGGGTAATTGGGCCTCCGGTAACCTCACTCACACAACGCAAGCGTTGTTTCACGTCGGTTTTCTGTGAGGCCGTGTCATAAGTCGATGTCAAGTCGGCTTCGAGACAAGATTAGAGGTGCTGACAACTAATTTACTCTGCCGTAACTACAAGCTAATTGCGTCAAAAAGGGCGTGATAATAAAGAGCCTTGTAGCATATAGTCTTTTCAGTAATATTTACCTGCGGTATGTTTCAGTTATATCTACAGCTAAGGAGCCGCTGAAAGGCTGGTTAGACAACATGTACGGACCCACCGGAGTTGCTGTTGGTAGTGGTAAGTGACATTTTAACCATCACCTCTATTTCAAAGTCAAAGTCAAAGCATTTATTTCAATTAAACCATATTTTAGTACTTTTGAAACGTCAACAAATACAAAATAAATAATAGTCTGTCAGTCAGTCCGCCAGTTAAGCTAGGTGAAGCTCATTCCAAAATGTAGATTCGAATGGAGAAGAACGAGCAAGAAACTCCATTCGTTACTCTTTTAACAAAAGTATATTCTACAATGTCTCTGATACATATTCCAATACTGTACGTATATGTGAGTACAATGCAAAGACTATCTATCTGAAAGGGGTCAGCAGACGTATATGCTACATATTTAATGAATTTACTCATACAGAGTGGAATTTTGTAGTGCCTCCTGAATGGGAAGTACTCTTAATACTTTAGATAAAAAAATTTAATCAAAGAAAGCATTTCTTTATTTTTGTAAAGAAACAAAACTGCATTCCATGTTTTTAAAAATTCGCTTGCTGCACACCGCAGGTTAATGAAAGGAAAACAATGAAATCTTATGAAGTTTGTTATAGAGATTTGATCCTTATTGACCGTAACAATCGATGCAATAAAAGTACAGGGTGCCACTTTTACAGACTTTAGTCGGTTTGATTATCGGGTGCATGCAAAATGTCCATGGGCGCTGATTACTTACCATCAGGTTATCCGTCGCCTCGTTTATACTTAGTAACATAACATCACGCTTTTTTATTCCCGAAGGGGTAGGCAGAGGTGTACATTACGCCACTGGACAATGTAACACCCACTTTTCACTATTTATGTTATGAGTCCCATGTAATAGGGGGTGAGCCTATTGCCATATACCGGACACAATTCCAGACTCCGTGCTGACTATTATATTACTGATATTTTTTTTCGAATGAATGAATGAATGGAATCGAATCCGATTATACTTAGTACTTACCCATTTTTCCTAATTCCAGCCACTGGCATCTTAAGGACGGTGCAGTGTGACGAGATGGTGTCAGCAGACATCGTGCCTGTGGACTCAGTAGTCAACTGCCTCATGGTAGCAGCGTGCAGTGTACATAATGCTTATAAAACAAGGTATGTATACATACATCCATAATACATACATAACTTCACGCCTGTCTCTCATGGGGGTAGGCAGATACTAAGGAACGCCAATTACTACGATTCCTACATACCTCTTTCACCTCATCAACAGTCATCAATCTTTCCATGCATGCTCGTCGGTTAAGGGTACTTTTAATTTGGCCCTTCTTTAATATATCGCTAATCTGGTCGGGGCTCGACGTGCAGGAGAAGGAACGGGGTGGATTTTAGTCAGCAAGAGTCTGACACTCCCTCTCGCCTCACCCAGGCGGGAGCAGTCATTCGATGACTTTCCCCCCCTTAAAAAAAAGGGCGCCCTCTACCGACGGTCCTATTCATATCCGCTCTGTACACTTCTTTCGTTACTCTACTTCACCCATTCTTTAAACTCTTAAACACCAAGCGGTTACCGGTGACCGCAACCTATTGTTCTTTAATTGTGTCTATAAATACGGTACTCGACGAGTTAAGATTTTAAATCTAAGACTGAAGAATAGATGCAGCTTTCACAATAAATAGACAACCCACAAATAACAAATGCTCGCATCTTGTTTAGAAAAATTAAAAACTGTCCACGAAGCTGCTTAAACCCGCCTATCATTTTTGAGCAATGTACAGCAGCTTATGATGAAACAAGCCCGCCACAACCTCTTAAAATCGCTGCAACTCCTGTAAGCCAGGATCTACAGTACATAAAAACATGAAAACATCGGAACACTGAAGTCCGGCGCGTCACAGGGACATGAATATTGTTGTTATTAAAGTTATGTTTACGGTGTAGAAGACATTTGACACCGCCCCTGCCCTTCCCGCGGGTGTTGTATACCCGACTAAGGGACTACATAATTATTTGACAGAGAATGGGCAGCAACTATCTGTTAAACCTGAACTGAAATGTCTTCATGAGAAATTTTTTAGTCCTTGATTTATATTGGACTAGCTACTTCCGCGCGGTTTCACACGCTCTGCTCAGCTCCTATTGGCCGTAGCATGATGTTTTATAGCCTATAGCCATCCTCGATAAATGCGTTATCCGACAAAAAAGGAATTATTCAAATCAGACTTGTAGTTACGGAGATTAGCGCGTTCAACCAAACAAACAAATAACAAACTCTTCCGCTTTATATAATAGTATAAGATAAGATGGGCCAACGTTGGACGATTATCTCGCCTGGTTCTTGACTATATTAAGTTATTTATTATCCTTATCAACCCCTATAAGTGGCCATTGCTAAAGACCTCTTCTCACACGGCGAAGCTTTGAGCATTAATCACCACGCTTGCTCAAGGCGGCTTGGCGATTTTAAACTTGTAATTAGAAATAATAAGCCAAAGTTTCCTCACGATGTTTTTCTTTTGTCAATAGTGTCTAAATAATCTTATTGTTATTGTTTTTCTTTCCCAGTTCTCCACCACTAGAACCTCCGATCTTCAACTATGTAAGCTCAGTGGAGAACAGGATCACTTGGGGCGACTTCTTGTCCAAGAATATGGCCTGGATCCACCACTACCCATTCACTGATGCTGTTTGGTAAGTCTATTTTACATACAACATACATATATCCTTTGATAGTATACTGCACGACCAACCACAAATGAGGCCCAGTAGGATTAATGCCCAGCCGGGTTACCGGGGCTCCAGCTCGATGCAGAAATAGGAACAGGGTGGTTTTTAATCAGTCTGACACTCTCTCTGGTCATACCCAAGGCGGGAGAAGACCGTACCTCCGGTGCTATAACGTCACTTATGTATTGCGGGAGGTCGCGAGCAACTGAACAATGAAACGGAAGAAATTCCAATAGGAATATGTGGTACCTTTGTACTTTAATTTTATGTCAGTGTTGTCCTTTATGTTGTATGTGTGTACATAAATAAATAAATAAATAAAACGTTGTTTCTCCCAGTTCCGTCCAAATTAGCGCCAAAACCGTAACGACAGTGTGGCGGCTGGTATGTGTCTGTGTGATTGAGAAATGTAGGGTCCTAACTAAGAGGGAGAGAAATGAACTCATTAAGAACCAAAACAGAACTGAATTTATTTCATACCACAAATTAATTATTACTTACAAGCTAATGACCTATGAGTAGGTCAACACCCCGAGTATATAAAATATAAATAAATATGTACACACTATAACAGTAATCCCTCACGAGGACAGTTTGTGAACTACACAAGTGACAAAAACGCACCAAGTAAAGAGGTGAATTTGGAGTATTCTTTTATAATCAGTTAAGTTTTGACAAAAATTGCATAAGTGACGATATTGTACTGTAGGTGCGTTGGATGATATTCTCCATCAAAAAAACCTATGGATAAAATAACTCGTACCATTTTATTTCAGGTTCATATCAGTAAGGCTAACGAAATCGGCTGCAATAAATAAAATGTACATGTTCTTCTTGCACCTGGTACCGGCTACACTGGTCGACGGGCTAGCTGTCTGCTTAGGGAGAAAGCCAAAGTAAGTATCTTTCAATATTCATTTTTTTTATGGGATAAGCCGGTAAACGAGCAGACGGATCACCTGATGGTAAGCAATCGGCGTCGCTCATGGACACCTGGAACACCAGAGGCGTTACAAGTGCGTTACCGGCCTTTTGGGATTAGGAATTTGAGGATTGTTGGGATTTAAGGATTGGGAAGGGGGGGGGGGAGAGTAATTGGGCCTCCGATAACCTTACTCACACAACGCAAGCATTGTTTCACGTCAGTCTTCTGTGAGGGCGTGGAATCCTCCGGTCGAGCCGGCCCATTCGTGTCGAAGCATGGCTCTTCCACATTAATTCATTATGATCATCTTCAGGTGGAATAGCTATTGTTATACAAAGACTTTCTTTTGAATTGAGAGGTTTGCCATAATCTTGTTTAAAGATTGAATTTAAATCACTAATTATGCTGCTGCCCGTTTCAAAATATTCTTTGCCTATGTCTGTGTTTCCTAAGGGGTATAACCTGGGTGTCTTCAAGGCCCGAGTGAATACGTTGCTTATGGGACGACGTGCTCCATCGTAGACCGCATCATCGCTTACCACCAGGCGAGATAGTGGTCAAACGTCGATCCATCAAATTAAAAAAAAAATGATATGAAAGTTTTTATTTTCTGTAGCTGAAAAAGTCAATCAAAAAGTTCTATAATAGGTACTTTTTATACACTACAAGATATCCATAGTTTTAGTACTCTTCTCAGAAATCGAATCTGAAACGTTATTATTGGAAATGCCAATCTTAGACAGATTATCTTTTTAATCACTTTACTCTACTCTAAAATATACTTCAAGACCCAGGCGGATTAAACATAGACAGTCATAGGCAATCACCTTATAGGTGTCCCTTATTCATTTTGGCGCCCCCGCCAGTCTGGGCAGTTGGGCATGCGCGTCTACCGCCGCTTCTCTATACCTAGCATCCTGTCGCGGAGAACCTAACAGGTTACCGGGGTACCGGCTCGACGTGCAGGAGAAGGAACGGGGTGGTTTTTAGTCAGTAAGAGTCTGATACTCCCTCCCGCCTCAGCCAGGCGGGAGCAGTCATTCAATGATTATCCCCCATTAAAAAAAATACGTAGCACCCTAGGCACTTTCCTAATTTGCCTTAGGGATAATACGACGCAGCCTAGACGCAATTGTAACCCAAATTCCTAATTATTTCAGGATGCTAAAAGTATACCGTAAGATACACAAGTTTTCATCAGTCCTATCATATTTCTGTACGCGAGAAATCAAATTCTGCAACAGCCGGACGAGAGAACTTTGGGAGAAGACTTCTGAAGCCGATAAGAAGGTAAATATTGAATATTTTTGTAAATGTATAGGGGGAAGTCCCTTAACGCCGGCCGGCACCTAACGCCGGACACTTATATTATCTCGATAACTAATAACGCGAGCGATTCAATTTTTAGTGGGAAGTCTCCCAGTGGCAGACACCTAAGATTTATAGTAAAAATTTAATCACTCCTGTTATCAGTTGTCGAAATAATCCTACCGTCTGACGTTATCCGGCGTTACGTGACTTCCCCCTATGGCTTAATAACGTAATGTTCGAGAGAGCTCAACTACTTTCGAGCTATAACAGCTTACAGGGCTAACAGGGCTTATAATAATGTCGTCAATGGTTCTCATTAAAATACGGATATATCACCATGATTTAAAATCGACGCAAGCGCTACCATAAATATCAACAAAGACCCATCGGACTGCAAACCAAGGTGCGCAACCAAGTCGACACCAGATGAAATACCAACCGTATAATTATACTAGCTTTTACCCGCGGCTTCGCACGCATCACAAAAAGATAAAAAGCCTATGTGACATATGCTAATACACACAGCGCCAATAATTTCGTTTTCCCTCAAGAATACCAAATTTTTCCGGGATAAAAAGTACCCTATTATTTAATCCAAACTTCTAACTTTACGTCTGCAAAAATTCAAAGCAATCGGTTCAGTAGTTACGGCGTTAAAGCGGAACAAACAAACAAACAAACTCACTTTCCGATTTACGATATTAGTAAGGATTTTGTTGGTTGCACAACTTGGTCGAACGATTTTTTTTTTGAGGTTAGGGTTTATTTCACTACGGTTTCAATAAAAACCTGTAAAAGCTGACCTTGACCTGGATAACGGACTTAGGTTTTTACAGCTGTAATTTCAGGTATTATGTAAGTTTTGAAAGTAGTTCAAGTCAACAATTTATATTGTAGTCATTTCATTTAAGCATTGTTTATTTACTATTATTTTCTTTCTCTGTGTGCTTTAGCATTACCCATAGCTTTAAAGAAACCTTTTTTTATTATGATGTTGATGTTTAGTTAATTTAGTATGTCCTACGATAGTTATTATAAAAATACTAGCGGACCCAACGACGTTGTCCTGCATATCCACTTGAATGTATAAACAAAAATTCATTCAAATTAGTTCAGCTGTTTAGGATAAATAACCTAAACATCGACTGCGCCATCTGCCGGGCTGATTTGTGAATTTAAACCATATCATCAAAATCGGTCCAGTCGTTGGAGAGAAGTTCAGTGACATACACACTCACAGAAGAATTATATATATAAAGATATAAACCTTTTTAATTTCAAAATTGAAGCTATCTTCTCTCCTGATTGCCTTGGCCTTTTTGCACTACGAAATCACAATTAATTAATTTTTCCAGATATATCCATTCAGCATGACCGAATTGAACTGGGAGGAGTACTTCCGAGACTACCTCGCCGGCATCAGGAGGTATTTGTTCAAGGAGAGCGACGACACACTACCTCAAGCCAGGATTAAGTGGAAAAGGTAAATTGGAACCTTTTTAAATGAGTTTAAGAATGGTTTTTATCTACCAAAAAAGTCAATAAAACGACGACTGCCTTGTTGGCCGAGATTTTTCATGGAATAAGCCGGTAAACGAGCAGACGGATCACCTGATGGAAAGCAATCGGCGTAGCTTATGGACACCTTAAACACCAGAGGCGTTACAAGTATGGCCTTTTGGGAATTGGGAATTTGAGGTTTGTGGGGGATTCGGCGATTAGGGAGTCTGGGGAGGGAAGGTAATTGGGCTTCCGGTAACCTCACTCACACGACGAAACACAACGTAAGCGTTATTTCACGTCGGTTTTCTGTTCGGCCGTGGTATCATTCCGGTCGATCTGGCCCATTCGTGCCGAAACATGGCTCTCCCACACTTAAATGACAGGGATGGCACGATATCACTACATAGTATAAAACAAAGTCGCTATCCGCCGCAACAATCTTCAAATTCCTAATCCCCATAAGGCCGCGCGCACTTGGTAACGTCTCTGGTGTGGCGGGTGTCCATGGGCGCCGCCAATTGCTTACATAAGGTGATCCTCCGGCTTCACTACATAGTATAAAACAAAGTCGCTATCCCCCGTCTGTCCGTCCCTATGTATGCTTAGATCTTTAAAACTACGCAACGGATTTTGATGCAGTTTTTTAATAGATAGAGTAATTCTTAAGGAAGGTTTATATATATAATACATGCATATTGCAGCCGTGCGAAGCCGGGGCGGGTCGCTAGTTTAAGTATAACATAACTTAGAATTTAGTAGCCTTTAAGTATTCCGGCCTAAAGTATAGGTACTTGTATGTCTAATTCATGTAATTATTGTTTCAGACTATACTATCTACACCAGATAACAAGGTTCATTTTCTTCATCCTGGCAGTCTACGCGCTGTGGTGGTTCTTATCATTATTGTGGTGATTTATTTTTAAAGTTAAATTGTACAGTTTGTGTATAGAAACGTGATTTTAATACCTATGTACAGAAAGCACAAGAATTTAGTTTCCAGTTAAAAAAAAGATTGATTTAGTATACAGAGACAGTAACCATATTGGTTGTCTAGAGCCGACTGAGTTGTCGCGGAGAACCTAACGGGTAACCGGAGCTCCGGCTCGCCGTGCAGGAGAAGGAACGGGGTGGTTTTTAGTCAGTAAGAGTCTGACACTACCTCCCGCCTCACCCAGGCGAGAGCAGTCGTTCGATGATTATCCCCCCTTAAAAAAAAGAGCCGACTGAGTTACAAAAGACATGGCTTCGTTACAAAACGTACAATTTAGTATAACAAAAGCTACTGTCTCTGTACTGAATCTATCTTTAATTTATTACCTGCAGACTAAATAATTAGGCTGGCTGTATGGTAAAATAACCTGTGTTTGAGACTACATGGGACTTAAATTTGAGCTGGGGGGCTGACTCATTCTCAAAATTTTCCTGTTTTTCTAAAAAGTACGTTCTTACTTTTTATAGTGATATCGGAAACGTAATTTAATAAATGTTCTATGTGACGCGAATTGTTTCAAAGTATACTGGGGGTCGTCACACGTCTTAGTCAAGAGCAGCATTGCGTGATAAAAATTCGCGGCGAGCGACGCGCCAATAACTGATTATTTTCTTGTATGAAATAGGTAATTGAAAAAATATGACGTGAGTCCCGCTTATGCGATTGGCTTTTTGAAAACAGACGATTGTTATTTAGAAAGGGTTATTTTTGGTATGCACTGGTGATGGGAATTCACTAGTTAGAAAATTAAGGCTATGTTCAGCTGTAAACGTCTTTTGGCCGATATGATGAATAACCTAGATTTTGAAATACATGGTCTCAAATACAGGTTTAAATATATTTTATAAATAATTGTTAAGCCAAGATCAATGTGATATATTTATAAACAAACCATAAAGGTAAGATTACATTTGTCCGCAGCAAATAGAAGTGGACTGTGCTTAGTTTTGTCATCATTCAGAACTGTCAGTAAATAGAGCGAGAGAGAGTGTATGTGTGACCGTAGTATGTCGCGAAATGCGGGCTATTGTATTTCAAACGCCACTTTAGCCCTTGTCTACAGAGAGAGTAGAAATCAAAATGTATGGGGGTGATACTGACAATATTACATCAATTCCATATAATTTGGTTTTCTATTCTATATGTAGACAAGCGTTAAGTGGCATTTGGCTGCAGCTGCAGTTGTCGCTAATGTAAACCTCTTGTTTTTCGTCCAATAGGGAATTAGCTAATAGTGTCACACCTTTGGACGTTCTATTTGACAGTTGCAGTGATCTAAAAAAATCTCTACATTTGCACCATCTCCGTGGTACATTGCGCCCTCTCTGCTACATTTGCGCACTATTCTAACAAAAAAAGTAGCCCCCATTATAAAAACGTTTTTTTACCCTTACGGTTTGTGTGCAAATATTTCTCATCGATCTTGACCCGAGTATAAGATACAAATTTTACATTTTATGTAAAACCAAAACTGTTGTAAGTAGAATAAAAATAAAAATAAGTTTATTAAGATAATAATAAGAATGTGTACTTTAAATAATTATGGTAGGTTAAAAAAGACAAATTATGTTACCAAAACCTTTATTTTTATAAATATACGTACTTTATTGAAATGTAATAGAAAACGATGGTGATATTTTAAAGGGTTCATTGTCTAAATATCTATGTATAAAATAAAATAAATGAATCAAATATTATTATGGAACTAAAAATTGTTATTTTATTTTACTCGCCCTTATCCCATATTTTCTTTTTTAAATTACATATTGAAAATCGCATCCTATATTGATATTTCTGTATAAATCAGTCCAAGAGCCATGCATCGAATCAGCACGAATGCGCCGCACAGTGGTGCAGGTAGAATGGGCATTCGAAAAATATTATTTTTTAACCTTTTCGCCGCCCAGCTATACTAAACACGATGTGTCGCCGTACGCCAACGTATAAATGTATAATAAATGTATAGTACGAAAGTAGGGATGGCGGTAACATCATGTCGATAATGAAAAAAAATATGTGTAAATTTAAATTGGTACTCAAATTTACAATTAAAAATACAAACTGTTAAGTTATAATGGTAATTTGTTTTATTTTATGAACATTTATACTAAGAAAAATGGGTATCCGTTATCAGAGATGAAGATACATGCATAGAGTTGCTAGAGATAATAATAATAATTCGTAACATTAGCCACTTCACTATTCATTTCATAACGTAGTCTGTTTACTTCATATCAAGTCATTGGCGTTCAAAGCACGATACATTTCGTAAGGAATAGTTGTCTATGCTTTTCTTTCTTTCTATCGAGTTTGGTTTGCTTTTGGTTTTAGTTTACATTTAAAATCTAACGTCAGGTCACGATCAGGAACATTGTTTGTAGTGATTAAAAGTGGCAACATATGTGTAGTTTTGGAAATGGATGGTAAGTAACTATTTTAATACAGATGTACTAAACTTTAATAGCTTATTTTTCATTTAATGCAAATGAAAAACTGGCACGTTTGATGGATATTAGGTAGTCATAAAATACCTATTCGTTGCGGCTCTCGGTTTCGCAAACTTTTAGCTGTGTCGGCGAACAAATATAGACCTGAGTCGATCACAAATTTTTCGCGACCCAAACAGTTTGTAATCGAATCAAAATGACTCAATCATTTGGATATTTCATAATCATGAAAATAATTATAGGTATAGGCCGTGCGATTAATTATGAGCGCTGGACGAAAGTAGAGGGGGATGCGCAGTAGCGATTTTATACTAAGAATCGCTACTGCGCATACCCCCTCTACAATTTAGTTCATCAGCGAGGGCTCGTCGCTCGTGACACGTCGCGCGACCTATACCATTCTCGATCACTGCACACGGCAACGCCGCGACTTTATCTTTGGCGCGCTCTATAGGCACGTTTTTCTTATTTTAGATCCAAATAAAAAACGAAAGTATGTTCCGGAGACGGCCGATTTTGATGAAGACCGGACCCAATGTTCGGACGCACACCTTGTAACAGCCGCAACAACTCATCCGAATCATATTCGGTCATTTTGCACTGCACTGGGAAAGAAAAATGTGCGTGCACGCGTCGCCCGGAACTATGACACAATGACCTTGACGCCTAAGCGCTTACGACGTCACAGGTTTACTTCTATTGAAGTTGACGGCGCTAGTGTCACTCGACATCTTGCCATTACGTAGAGATGGGTCTAGCAATATCGAAAACCCTCAGTACATAATAATTAATTTTAATGAAATGATTTGATAGGTAGATGTACATTAATTTTGAAACGCATTGTAATACGTTATTTACTGACCGGAATTTCTTTTTATTCATAGAATTCAAAAAACTATTGGATGGAAAAGAAAACAAATATTATAGTAAATAAAGATTCTAATGAATGCTCCTTACGCGTCACATCACTGGCCTACTTGATATGAAGTCGTTGGCGTGCGGGATATAAAATTATTTGAAACCTTTTATGTTTTACCTTTTTAAAACAGAAAATAGTCTGTTTTGCATGAGAAAAAATAGTTCGTCGTGTCCATATTACAAAATTACAAAGAAACAAATGTTTTATGTATCGTAAATGTATTTTTTATAGTAGGTAGATACAATGAACTTCTATAGAAGTAGTGGCGTGGACGGCACGAAAATCCTAAACTTCTATAGAAGTTGTTGGCGGCGAAAAGGTTAATATGCAAAGTAGGTAAAGGTGAAGCAGGTAATATGCAATAATGAGAAGACTTTCTTCTATTTCTTCCTAATACTTTAATAAAATGATATTATGAATGTACCAGAACACGAAAAGAAAGATATGTACCAAATTTTTATTTCTTGATCATATTTATCATATCTTTTCACATTAATTCAATAATAAATATTATACAAAATATACCTAAAGTCTTTAGTATTAAAGATACATAGTTTTAGATATAGGTTCTATCCACTAATTAAGCTTTGGCATCATAGTGAAGGGGATAGGATTTTTTATTTGCTACTGCATGTAGGCCTTTACCGACCGATAAGGGAATCTAAGATAGCTAAGAGGAGCATACTCTTTACGTTTGGGGGCATGGCAGTGCCCCCACCAAGTCAAGCGCGAAGCAAACACTGCCGTACCATCCTTTACTGGCACCATTTCGCCGCATTTTCAGGCCCATATTTGAGAACCTCTGGATAAGATCAGAATGAAGAAATTTTCGTCATCCAGTAAGCTATAATTACAAACTTCAAATCCAAAGTTTCAAGTCTACAGGCCATTTAGTTCCGAAGTTAAGCGAAGGCAAAGTTTCGCATTTATGACACTCACTCATGATCACCAAAATAGAACTAGTACTTCCCATAACCTCAGAGAGTTGAAATTTGGTACAGAGTTAGGGTTTTATGGCCACACATAAAGGGAAAACTATAAAAACTAGGATAATCGAAGATCTGGAGTAACTGGTGAAGTGATCCTGATTAGATTAAATAAACAAATTACACTAAAATATTAGTCAAAATATAATTATTGGACATACATATACATTGGACTAAGAGTGAAGGTAATACCCGCATTCTACAAAAAGAAGTGAAATCCCACTAAAAACATTTTGTAAAAAACTCGCCTAGTCTCGATGCGATTCCTTATTGCGATATAGTTATTATTATAGGTAATGTTGTGTGACTTGGCCGTTGAAGGGTAACACCACGTTTACCAAATGGCAATTTTCCATCATCAATGGGTTGCGGTTCTGGCGACAGATTGGTGTAATGGCATCATGGAGCACATGGTTTTGTACCCTTCAACAGCAAAGTCACACAACATTTACTATTATAATTATAGTAGTCTTCAAGGCAGGTACTAAAACTTATGATATACCACCCGTTGCACTTGCGGGGACTGCTTTGGAATGGGTCACTTCTTTCAAGTATCTGGCCCACTGGGT